GTATCCCCACGAAGGTAGATTGATCGGCAGAGATGCGTGTAATCGAGAACAAGAAGGCAACAGAGACACATGAGTTACACAGGTTCAGGCCGTCAGCATGACGTAATACTCTACTTCTGTAGTCTGTTGGGTTGTGTCGGTACAGAAAGTGACCAACTAGTGAATATTTGTAGTTTTGCTGTACGTTGTCATCGGAGGTGGCCTAGCACTCAATGACATAGGATTTATACTGGTTCAGGCAACATGCCCTATGTCCAGTCTGGGTCGGTCGGTGACTTTATTCCTGAGCCCAGATGCTCGAAGTCTGTAGTGGGGTTACAAACGAGAAGGAGAAAGGAGGGGTGTATAAGAGGCCCGATCGGGTCCGATCGGAAGGGACGAGGACGACCGGAACTCCGCTATGAGCTAGAAGTCTAAGCGTGTGCTTGAGGGGTTGTGAGCTATCGATCTAGTGAGTCTGAACTTGAAGAAGTCAACCTCCTTCGTTGGAGGGAGCGCATCCCCTTTTATAGATAAAGGGGATGGCTTTACAGATGAGAGGGGGAGAGTACGGATGTTTCTAAGCCTTGTTGCCCACGCCGACGAGGGTAGCGATGATGGTAGGCACCCACAATACTATTGATGTCACTGTAGAATGTCAGGTGCACATGGGAGGTTGCATTGGCTTCTTTAGGAAGGGTGGATGTCGGTACCTGCAAAAGACTATCGGTATGTGAGGAGCCCTACCACGTGTACCAGGTATGGTGAATCCTGGCGCCCACTATCGATGCCCAGAGGCATGTGGGGGGCTTTTTGCCGTACGGGAGTCCAACAGCGCCTACAATACTGTAGACACAAATGTCGGCGCCTACAATACTATTTGTGTCAGGGTGGTTATGGAGCACTGTTCCCACAGGTGTACAGGGTATGGTCCCTGGTATCATGGTTTGACTTGTGCGCTGCCTTTTCCATTCGCCCCTGGTTCCTTCCGAGCGGGCGACCGCGGTCGGATGGCCCCAGTCGGTCCTGGTCGCGCCAGTCGGAGAAGAGCGGCAAGCAGGCTTCCTACGAACCTCCGGTCGAAAACGCGGGGTCGGAGTAGGAAGCAGTGTTTTGGGCCAGGCCTTCTGATCAGAGAGACAGCCCGGAGGCGGCTGGTGCCCAAAGCGAGTGCTCTGGTCGGAGAGGTGGGCCGAAGAAGTTGATGAGCGAGCGTTTTGTTCTTTTGGGTAGACCTTTCGGTCGGGGACCGGATTGTCCTTCTGGCCCATCGTGTTTTTAGGCTCTTGGGCCAGCCTATGAGCTACATGCTATTTTCCTGGGCCGAGCCCTAGCGTGGAAGCCGGTCCCCGAGGGACCCCGGGTTTATGAACCCGACAGGTTGTATTAGCTATCATATGATATTGCGTGAGTTTGGAGGGGTCCCTGCCCGCCTTATATAGTCCAGGGGCAGGGTTATAAGTCGGTTAGATCTAGGAGATAACCAAAAAGTAATAACAGATTACAGGAATCACGGGATCATACGTATCCTAACAGATCTCGTAGTATCTTCAAGATATCTTCCCGGTGTCTTACGGAAGGTGCCGAGCAGTGTCGTGCCCCGCAAGGCTTCATCTTGTGGGCTGGGCCGCCCCTGGGTCGTAGCCTATGTGGTTTGCCGTGGGTATCCGGGGTCGTACCCCCCACAAGCTTCCTTTTGATTAGGTTGATTCTGATTGGAAGTTATTGGTGAACCACAACCAATTTTGCAATACCCTGTATAAAATACAAACAACGACAAACAAGGGTAAGCCTACTAAAGCAGAGTTGTTATGGTTTTATCAATAAGTATTTATTTGATCAATTCTCTATAGCCATGTGCCCCTTCCCCGGTAACGGCGCTAGAAATGCTTGTTGACATTTCTTAGCATCACTCTTTACTAAGTTATCATACCTAGCATGATACCAAAAATGAATGGTTGGTAATTATTAATGACACTTGTAAACTCAGAGAAAATTATATATGTTAAAGTAAAGTATCCGCAAGCGCGTAAATAATATACCATTGTAGCATTTCACCTGAAAGTATACCGAGTATCGTTATTTATATTTTATCCACAGGGAGGAGCTATGGGATTGCTGGCATAGAGATATTGACAAATATGTATACTTATGATAAAAACCACTCCCATGCTATGGCAGGGGTAAGTCAAATGATAAATAAATGATAAGTATAAAGCATTGATAATAATTCCAGAGATAGAAATAAAGACTCATAAAATGTAGTATGGCTAGGCAGGAGATTCGGTAAGAGTAAAAGATTTCTAAGTCATTCCTTATTTACTAAGTCTTTTGTACACTCAAGTATATATACTCTCATCTATAGCATAATTAACTCTGAATCTATGCATAAGGAACATTACTAAGGAAGATCAAGAATAGAGCTTGTCTCCCTTCGCAACCGTGTTCTACTTGCTCTACAAACGGGGAGTGGACTACAAATGACTCAATGGGAGTGTCACATTCATGATCTACCACATGACCCAGAGTGCAGAATGCATCCGTAGGTAAACAATATCTAAGCACCATGCTTACATAATGTCAACCACTTAACCCACACGCGTCTTGGGCTAAGCGCTTTGCGAACATATGCATAAACTCATCATCAATCACAACTATATCAAGTATATAACTAGAGCAGACTTGAAACATAATAAATAGCAACATAATATTGAAGTAGCACAAAGTCATAAATAAAGAGATACAATGGCTATACCAGTCTTCAGACGGCGGATCTGAAATCCTGAGCAATAGCCCACACTCTACTTGAACCTTGCTAGCTAGCCTTACTAGAACTTTGAAGAATTAGAGCTCTATTCTCTTCTCTCTAAAAACCCTAATTTCTAGTCTAATCTTGACTTATGGCAGCGTCTCTGGAGGGGGGGGGCAGGGGCTGGTTATATAGGCCAGAGCGTCAATCCTAAACCCTCAGATCAAATCAACTTGAATAAATAATGTAGATGCAATCTAGGAGGCGGTGGAGAACCGACGTAGCGACATGGGCTAATATGTGGGCCCTAGGGGCCGGGCGGCCTACAGGTATGGCTGGCCGACCCCAGTTGGTAGCCACTCGGGCTCTGCCTCGGCGTGGAGTCCTCTCGAGTCTTCTGGTGTCTGTTTCGCTGTGGATAAGCGCAATTAATTCTGACATGTAGGTCCACCTTAATGGTTTCTAAATAAACCCTGCAGAAAATACAGATTCAGCAAAACTCGTGGAATTTGTTAGTTTAAACCCCTAAGGCTTTGTTGGTGATCCTTTTTATGCATTTATTCAAGTTATGTTGATGGTTTATAGTCGTTGTTAACTACCATCAACGGAAACCTAAACTCAAAACAAAATATGAAACTTTGGAGAGCGCTTTGAGTTCGTCCACCTTTTAACTTTAAGGATTGAGGGACACCATTTCATCTTAGATCAACTCTTTAAAACTTTCAAGGGACTAAAGCCGCAATATATCTCATTAAGATCTCATTAGTCCCTAATTTGGATATCATCAATACACCAAAACCCACATAGGGGGCAAATGCACTTTCACCTTACAAACGCCCGCCTCCGTAAATGATTTACCGAGGTGGACATTTTTGACCGCCTCGGTAAATAAAATGTTCCCCTCGGTAAATCGATTTTGCGAGGCGGTTATTTGTGACCGCCTTGGTTAATAAAAGTGGTCGCCTTAGTTAATCCCAGGCATTAATTGAGGTGGTTCAAATGTGTGCCCACCTCCGAGGCCATTTTCTAAATGCCTCACAAAAGTTTTTCTGTAGTAGTGACCATCTGCTCTCACCGCCGTCGGGAATGAAAGAGTGAGAGTGGGAGTGGAAGAAAAGATGATGGATGAGGCAAACAGACACTGTGAAGTTAAAAGGGGCAAGGACAAAATGGACTTTTCATGTGCCTTTACGTCTGGACCTCACCACCATCCACGCTAGCACAATGATATGGTGTGGCATATCAGCAAAAATGACAGGAATGTAATGCAATTACTGTTTTCATGACAAATATGTTTTTGCCCGTCTAAACCTAGCAGTCGGAGATTAGTTAAATATCCCCATAACAAGCTATACATGCCATTGCAACAGATAGGCATGCTTTGTTAGTATAATATAAAATTAGTCCGTTTGAAACATATTACTGGTTACTAGTTGGGGCTAAAAATTAGTTCAAATTAGCTATGGTTATCTAGAAAATTAGCTAACAACTAGTCGAAGACTTGTCTAAAAAACTATACCACCTATTAGCCCTCCTGTTTGGGAAAGGCTAGCGCTCGGATGCTCACGCCGCATGCCTACGCTGCTTCACATGGGGCCCACGTCGCTCCGTGTCCCACGCTCGCATCGTGTCTCACGCTGTTCCGTGTCCTGCGTCCGCTCCGTGTCCCACGCCGCTCCATCTCGATATGTGCCCACAAGGTTTCCTACTCGCGCCCCTCCATACCCACGCACATGTAGGTAGGCCCAACTGTTGTAGCAGGCAGCTGCTGCAGATGGGTCCCACTGCAACATGTGCAATATTATCTAGATCTACTTTTGCAACATCTAGAGAAAACATTTGCAACATACGTCCGACATTGTTGAAACACTTGCAACATATGTCTGAAACACTTGCGAAACACCAGAAAAAACTTGAAAACCACGTGTGTAGCCATTGCAAACATTTAGATGAAACCACTTGCAATATACGTATGAAAACATTTGAAACACTTGCATATATATATATATGCAACATTTAGATCTACTTTTGTAATATCTAGATGAAACACTTGCAACATACGTCCGAAACAGATGAAACATTTGGAACCTACACTTAAAACATACGTGTATAGCCATTGCAACATCTTGACAACTTTTGCAACATCGCTGTGAAACACTTGCAACACACATCTGAAACACTTGAAACATATGCTTGCAACATGCGCTTTCTAGCGCAATATCACCTTGCTGCTTGGACGAATGGAGGCTCATTGTTATGGAGCTCAACGCCGATGCAGAGGTCGACGGCGGCGCATGGAGCTCGTCGATGCCCCAGCGGAGGCACTATGCTGGGCGAGCACCTACGCGAGGAGCAACTGGCAAGCACGTCGGCCTACTCGGCGAGCACCCCCTGCAGCACCCCTGGCGAGTGGCCAATAGCCGATGAGCACCCCTTGCTTGGTGAGCACGAGCACCACCTGCTGCTGGCGAGCACCCCTTGGCTGGCAACCACGCGAGTTCGAGATAGGAAGGAGAGTCACAGTCTCCACAATGGAGAGACTGAGGAGAGAGAGAGAGAGGGGATGGAATCAGAGAGAATAAGTCTAGCCACCTGACGGGAGTAAATATTTGTGTGGTAGAAAAATACGTGGACCACCGACAACGTGAGGTCACGTAGTGCCCGTTTGTCCGGGCGCGGGACGGATGCTCGCGCTGGAGCATTTCCGCTCCTGTTTAGATGCATTAGAACTAATTTAGGCTAATTTTTGCTAGCTATTAGCGATTAGCACTTGTATCAAACTGGCCCTATACATAGATATAATGATTTATGTAAACGTTTTTCCAGCTGGTTGTTTACACGTCATGACATTAACGTGGCATAACAATGACAAAATCATGAAGGATCCGGCTTAGTCACAAGGGGAGACAATTTGCCTCCCCATCCCTATCCCCATCCCCATCCCATCCCAATCCATTGGGAGCTAGTTCATCATCGGTCCCAATCCAATCTTACCAAAGCTTTTTCCTCATCCATATCTACGTCGACCAGGGAATTCCCGTGCCGGTGGGGCCGACGTGCGACGCCATGTGTCGCCGCGCTGCCGCCTGGGTCACACAAGTGTGCGGGTGGGTGGCCGCCACGCGCTCGATGCGCCCGCGTGCGTGTGCTCGCCTCCCTCCCTCCCTCCCTCCCTCCCCGCACTAGGTCTTCACTTCCCCAGCCAGCGGTCCCCTGTCGCTGCCCGTGCTCATCCGGCCACCTTCCATCTGCGGCCGCCAGTCCCCCGTTCCCCACCGCGGACCAGCTGTCTGCGGATCAAGATCCGTCGAGGCTGAGGTACCCGCGTGCCAAAGATCGTTCTTGATCTAAATTTGGGTGGGCGTGGGGGATCAAAGCTCCGTTCTCTGCGGTGCACTTGGGAGGGGTAAAAGTTGGCTTGATCTCTTGAGGTGTTTGGGTGTCAGAGTCGAATGGGTTCGGTGTGAAAGCTGGTGTCTTTATAGTTGTTCGATAGGTTGAGCTAGCTACTGTGGAGAGTGAGAAGGAAGGTGGTTGCTTGGTCAGGGCTTTATGGAGTAGGTGCTGTTCGTCTTATCTATGCTCTGAGTAATGATGTATTACAACCGTTATTTTTATATATGCTGTTAAAAATCTGTATTGGATTCTTTGTGTATTTTCCAGTTTTCCAATGAGAATAATTGGATGGATCAAATTGGCTTTAACTTCGTGATGGGCTGTATGACGCATGAGCAGTTTAAGATTTTTGCTGTTGCTGTTCAGTCAAGAGAAAGAGTAGGTTGCTAGCTTGATATCGTTTCTTGGACTGTCTATAGTGTTCTTGTGTTCTTAGATTGATAAAGCTGGCCAATTTGGTAGGTTAATTTAGCAACTGGTTTTTATAACATCGTTTTTATAAAAAAGATGTATTGAGTTCTTTATGCAGATTCAGATAGACTTTTCATTGTTGATCTGATCCTTGTGCATAGTCCATACATAAAGTTGATCATTTTTTATGTAATTATCTGCACTCCATCATCGTCAATCAGACATATGGTGCTTCTTGTTTATATTTCTTTCCTAGCAAGGTTAAAAGTTTAGCTTGTTGTGGTATTGTGAGCAATTGATGCTTCCGTGGTACAGCTTCCTTAGAAACTCCACATTTTTATGTGGATTGAATTTGTGTTCTGAATTGTGATACCTTGTAGCCCAGATTAGTTGCCCTTTGTTGCTACACTTGGTTTTAACTCTTTTAATGCTTAAATACTCAATTTTGTGACTCAGGAACAATATTCTTGGCATGGTGGCTGACACAGAAAGCTCAGATTCACTGCCTGGCAGTTCAAATGCTGCTTCTGAGATGCCTGCTAATGGGTTAGCCTCAAAGTATTTTTTTGGATCCAGTTTTGTACAACTAATTTCATAGCAGTAATCAGTATGACCCCATGGCCCACAGTGTGCATGGCCATATTTGTTTCTAGAGCCTGAAGTATCTGCTCTTAGTTAGCTACCTATATTGGGTGTACATAAAAATGCTAGCATCCACAGTCCACCAGATGATTACTATGTCCCCACCCTCTTCATTTGACCCACTGCAAGCAATAAGATCCGATCAAAATGAGCAAAATATAAAGCAGACTGTGATCTAGGAATAGATGTTGCAGAAGGTACAGAAATATGATTTAACCAGTAGTTTATGGCTGAATCTTCTTTATTTGCATTCATTTCTCTTGTTCAGTTTAATTCTTGTCTTCACCAGTTCTTTGGCTAATCATTGTGCTGCTTGCTCAGTTTCATGTCATATGGAGTTGTTTAATAGGCCAGTAAAGGACCATAACTTGAAGTTTATGATCTGTGAGAGAGACAGATGATGTATGCTATTAATTATCACTACCTCATAAGTAAAGCAGTGTCATCTGCTCCCATAGGCATATCAGTTTCACCTGCATAAATATAGAAGCTAGACTAGCCATCAATTCATATGGTATGAGACCACAGGAAGTTGTGGCTCTTTTCTTTCATTTTTTTCTCGGGTCTTGATTCTGAACTCACAAAAAAAATTGAAATAGAAAGTTTGCTATATATAAAGCAGAACCTGCGTATATATAAAAGCAGCTAGAAGAAACCCTCAAGAACGAAAGAGTAAGGATTGTTTAGGACAAGAGCTGTGCAGATGGGTTCCCGCAACTAAATCCTGTGTAGGACCTCTGAGACTGGGACAGAGTCATAAAAAAGGTTTGCAGTTAGGCACTCCCCACTTGCCACATTAGAACAATGCCCATAGCTCATAGTTGTTAAGTTTTAACAGAATCCTAGTGTATTAAATTTCAATTAACTCAAGCTCATAGTTGTTAAGGCTTTGTTGTTGTTGTTGTTGTCAAATTAACGAGTGCTGTGGTAGTAATTTGCATGCTATTAACACTCAATATATGTTTTGTTCGAAGTTTATATTCAGATACCTAGGGGAGTTAAGATTTCCCTAGTCTTAGTTGATTGCACCTTCAGATTGTTCTGAATAATGATGTTGTCTATTCTTTCTAATACTTATTTGCCCACATTAGGCTTTGTTGTTGTTGTTGTCAAATTAACCAGTGTTGTGGTAGTAATTTGCATGCTATTGACACAGTATATGTTTTGTTTGAATATATGTTTTGTTTGAAGTTTATATTCAGATACCTAGGGGAGTTAAGATTTCCCTAGTCTTAGTTGATTGCACCTTGAGATTGTTCTGAATAATGATGCTGTCTATTCTTTCTAATACTTATTTGCTCTTGCAGTGTACTCCCTCACTCAGCCTACTCATGTTTTTTCCCGCTGCACTATTTTCCTGTTTTCTGAAATTTTTTCTGCTGCAGGTCTATTCACCCAAAGAAAACACATAAAGCTGAACGAGAGAAGCTTAAACGTGATCAGTTGAATGACCTTTTTGTTGAGCTGGGCAGTATGCTAGGTTAGTACAGTAGGTCATTAACCATTGACTATTTGTAATAGAAACAATTTACGCTCTTGATGGTGGCCAGCATGATGTGCCCTTTCAGCGAGGACTGAAATTATAACATACATTAGCTTATATTATGTTTACAGGATCCAGTACATAGTATATCTGCATCATTCGGTATACTAGGGCGTGTTTGGTTCCACACCCAGGCAGCTTTGCATGCTAGGCAACAATCTCAGGCCGTCGATTTTGGTCACCTGGTGGCCAGGAGCTACCTGCCTGATCGTGAACCAAACTGGCCCTTAATGTATCACCTTAGAGAACTCATCTCATATATACCTTCATTGTTCTGTAAATGGTCTACTGATCCCTTTCTTTAAATTGCTAAAAAAATCCCCATGTGAACTGCTCGCTTTCCTTCTCTATTTCATGCTTCCCTTTGAGTGGTCCATCATACATTAATGTTACTAAGCCAAAAGCTTTTTCTGTTGTTATTTAGCCCCTAAAAAGTTTTTTTTATTGATTTTGAAACTATTTGCAATCCTTTTCTTCTGTTGTTTCCATTTTCTTTACGGGTCATCATAGTATCGACCTTGATGAAGGAACCATGCCATTATGGATATCCTAGCTTTATCTTACTCTGGCATCAGCATGTTAGTACCATTTCTACTGAGTACGTTTGTGGTTGTTGACATGAAAGGAACTGCTAATCTGTCCGCCAAATTCTTCAAAATCAATGTATGGTTAAGCTATTAATACTATGCTGTACTTTGAAAGTTTGAATGGAACACCACTGTGGATAATTCTTTCTGATATACCATGCAATCATGTTATTCTGATGACAGGTGGGGAATGCCATCTGCTGAACTGCATACTTATGATGAACATTGATGCTTTTTCCTTTGTATTCCTGTGCCAGTAAATATGACTGCATAATCATCCTCATATGTTCCTGTTGTTTGCAGAATATTGCCTTAGTTTTACAGGTCTGTATGTTAGGGTTACTGATTTTTGCTACAGATATCTAAGCCATTGATCCATATAGTTCTGCTATTACAGATCTTGATCGACAAAATACTGGAAAAGCTACAGTGTTAGGTGATGCTGCACGAGTACTGCGAGATCTAATTACCCAAGTAGAATCTCTTAGGAAGGAACAATGTGCTCTTGTATCGGAACGCCAATATGTGAGTTTCCAAATTCAAGCACTTATATACTCTTTATAAAAAAATCAACATGCATGAATTCTTATGTTTCTCAACTGATGGAGATGACCAAAGGGATCTTATTGCACATCTTTGAAAACCACCAAGTCCTCTACAGTTATTACTTATTCAGAATTATAAACATCTAGCTTGAGTTGCTCTTACACATATCTGCTGTGAATCCTGTAATTGATTCACTGAAACTGACTGTAGATGCGAAACTCACTGATATTCAATTGACTCCTGTTAATGTTTCATATTTACCATTGGAGACTACTACTGATAGCACTTGCTTGCTTGATTTAGTTCTTTGGTAGATGTTTCAACTTATTATCTGCATTTCACCTGTTAAGCCTAAAGTACGCTTATTGACAGGTCAGTTCAGAGAAGAATGAGCTGCAAGAGGAGAACAACTCGCTCAAATCACAAATATCAGAACTACAAAATGAGCTCTGTGCAAGGATGCGGAACAGCAGCCTCAATCAAAACAGCCTTGGGATGTCACTTCCAGTTGCGAACACTGTAGGTGCTGATCTGGCAACTCACCCTATGCCACAGCAGATGTGGAGCAACATTTATAATTTAAGCTCTGTGGCCATGGCACACCCAACAAATACAGCAACTCTGTTACACAGCCAGGACCACTCTGCTGATGCTGGTCAAGGCTATGCGCACCAACCTCGGGAGCTGCAGCTGTTTCCAGGTGCATCATCTTCACCAGAGTGTGGATGTTCCTGGCTAGGAAGCGACCAGGCCACATCGTTGAGGCTGACAGATTCCTTGCCAGGGCAGCTGTGCCTAAGCCTTCCACAGTCATCTCAGGAAGGAAGCAGCAGCGGTGTACCACACAGCAGAAAGGAACGGCGGAACGGTTTGCCAACTGACAACACTTGAATCAGTATTTGGTGGCAGCGATTGTCCTGTAAATACCAAGAATCCCCTCCCTCTACTGATTCAGAAGTCAGAACTTTGTATTGCTCTACGTTGAATACTTGTGATGCGGGCTGATCAATCTTGTGAGGTGGAACTCACCGGTCTTTTTGCTATATGTTTTCCATGAGGTTGTAAGAACACCTTAGTATTACAGAGAGTGTGCTCCTTAGTTGGAATAGAAAAGCAATTTGATGGCTATGATGCCTTGATCTGCCATCTTCCTGCTCCCAGTGAAAACAACCCTGCACATGTAATCTTCGAATAAAAATCATGCCATCTTTCAAACAATGACAAGAGCAGATGTTGCCTGCTAGCATCAGCTGCTACGGAGTGCTGAACTATGCGCCCAGCAAGCACAACGTCGCAGTTGCATACAGGTGCAAGTCATGCTACACAGCCGTGTGCCGAATAAAAAGCCTCGCTTCGTCACAAATGCAGGTGAAGAGGTCATCCACAGTTCTGAACGCCGCGATGAGGCCCTGTCCCCAATCCAACAATCCAAGGTTGCAGCACAGAGCACAGTTTACGTAGCTTGGTTTTTGCCTGTCCTAGTGGAATTAATTATGCCTAAAGACATTGTTATATCGGCAGCGCTAGCGCCCAAACATCCAAACGAACTCCTGCGTCTGGACGCCCGCGCCTTGCTGCGCAGGTGGGGCCCGCCCATGCCACTCCCCCATGCCTCCCTGCTTCCCACGCCCCTCCACACCTGTTGCGCCGCTCCCCTCCATGCATGGCGCCCCAGCAGCTGCAGCAGGCGGCTGCGGCAGGTGGCTCACACTGCAAGATGCATAACACCCCAATCTACTTTTAAAACATCTAAATGAAACAATTACAACATACGTACAAAACAGCTGAAACATTCGAAATATGCGTCTGAAACACATGAAAAACACTTGAAAAACAAATTGCAAACATATGCAACATCCAGATAAAACACTTGCAACATATGTGTAAAACATATGCAACATTCAGATAAACACACTTGCAACATGTCTGGAAAAACATATCAAACATTGGGAATAGACACTTGCAATATACGTGTACAATCATTGCAACATATGCAACATCTCGATCTACTTTTGCAACCTCCGCATGAAACACTTGAAACGTACCTACGAAACATCTGAAACACTTGAAACATACGCTTACAACATTGGGGCGCCCAGGGCCGGGCGATTCCAGCCGTTGGGGTCGGTGCCGGCGCCGCGCGTGCAGCACTACCACCACCATCGCTAGTAGCACCGGGCTTGGTTCGACCGGGCGGGCGGTGCGCACGGCGAGCGGGAGCGAGCGGCACGGGATGAGCGAGCGCGGTGGGTAGGAGCGAGCGGCGCACGATGGGCGCGCGGCGTCCGGACGGGAAGGCCGCGGCTAGAGAAGGCCGCCACATTGGAGAAGGCTAGTGGCGGGCGGGCAGCGCGATGGATGGGCCCGTGGTGGTCACATGCGTGTGGCAGCAGGAAAAGGAGATGTCATGTTTTTTATTTTTTAGAGAAACCGCGTCTTACTGAAGGTGAAGTGGAGGAGACCTGTTGGGCCCGATCATTGGGCAGACCCGGAAACGAGCTGTCCAGACAGAACACACCTCGACGGACGCCCATGTAACATCATTATCATTTATAATTACTATACACTTAGTATATAAATTCATCATGAAATATGAAAGGGGTATAGTTTTTTTTATGAATCTCAGCACAAATACAAACACTCGTATACATATAAGTACAGCTTATCCCTATAAGCTCCAGCAGACAGATCTATGATTGACAGTCACCATAATTATCTTCTTGTCGATGGACAGTTAGGCAAGTCACATACAATTGAAAGAATAGTACCATTAAATCTAAAAACAATTATGAACATCCATGCAAAAGTTGAAGACTTTCCCTAACCATCCATCACAATATGTCAATGGCTGGATGGGTAGTAAGGCCATTCTCAACGAGGAATTTCGTGGTGTTATTTTCAAGACAACGACATCATATAAATGAAATATGGATAAAACATCCATCTCAATGCAAGTTTCATTCTATAGTTTCATAGATATTTAATTTCATGGTTCATCTAGATCACTTCTTCTCTCTTAAAAACATTGCCATGTCATCAAAAACAATTATGTGAGAACCTATTAAATACAGATGAAACTCACTGAAACTAGACTAAGTGTCTAATTATTGATGTCTGTCACAAAGACTAAACTAAGATTAAGTGTCTAATTCTTGATGCCTTGACAGTGCATAACGCGGAAGCTGGATATTCCCTACAGGAAGTGGATGTGAATAAAAAACATTGTGTTTCAGGTAGAGAATCTGTTGATGGTGGATGTGATACAAAAAACATTGTGTTTCATAAACAATCCCTACTGTCTATCCGTGTAGATGTCCCAAAAAAGAATAGAATGATTCTCCTACAGTCGAGGAACTGCCAGTACAGGCTCAATGACAGAAGGTCACAGGCTTACAGCCATCACCCGGCCAGTTACCAAGCCCATGTTTTCATTGACTGTACAGATGAATAACTACTAATACTAATTGATAGTTGTTGGAACTTGGAATCATCTGCAGGGGCTTAGCCAGTTGTTAAGGATACAGAGAAGAATCTTTGCAGCTAGCAGCTGAAATAAACACCACTTGTTGCACCACTAGTTAGTTTTGTTCCAGGGTCGGGAAATCAGAAATACATTCCATCTCCATATCCTGCTGCTTTTTGAGATAATCCTGTGCTGTAGACGTGATTATCTTAATGAAGAAGTTGAGAAGCACAAGCCACACTATAGAGTTCCAAACCAATGTAAAAGAGAAATTCCACTGTTTCTCCTGTGCACATGGTAAATTTATTAAACCAATAAGAAAAATGAGATGAATAATCAAGAGAGGCTAAGAGACGGTCAGAGATTTTAAATGATGATACTAACCTCCATTTGTGAGGATGGCGAGACTGGTGTTGGTGGTGATAGATACTTGTCCTTGGCAGCATTGAGTTTGGCAATCACAGATGGCAGGGTAGCAGAAAACCCAGGAATGTGACCAAATATCCAGATTAACTCCTTTTCCATAAGATACAGGAGCTGGTTGTTGCATAAGGACACAATAAACAGTGTCTGCGAGAGAAGAAAAATGAATATCAGGAAAAGGGATGCTGAAACTACTGGTGTCAAACCACCTGACAAGGCACTAAACCAGCCAACCAGGTATGGAGAAACTAAAATGACTCAAAAATTCAGGAAGTCAGGCACCATAATAACCTTAGCAAGAGAGGTTTCACAATTAATTTCACTGGTTTTTTCAGGTATAGTCTTCAGTAGTTTTATTCTTCTATAATTATGGATACCAAATAAACCTAGAGAATCAAACCGAATCCAGTTCATCACATTATATTTCATTAACTATCATTAGGTTTATTTCATTCTCTGGTTCAGTTTTTGTTGAATTCTTGTAAAAAGAATAGGAATTTAATTAGGGGGAGGAATAGGACAAGACTTACTAGGGCACTCATCCTACTAATATATCAAATCAATATGCAAATACTGACATATTTTGTGCTGAAATCATACCCAGGCATTCTAACATGTCCACGTCCTAAAGAAAATCAAAGATTGGCATGCAGTCTAAATCTACTTATCCTGATGGGCTTTTGCTGAGATGGTTGGTAGGATTTCAAAATTTGAATCCAAGTGGAGAATAATGATCACATACAAGCATAAAACAATACCACATCGAAGAATAGTTTCATCTAATTAAGTTAATAAAAGACTGTCTTCCCAAACATCAATGGAAAATTCTCCAAAAGATTGAACACACATGTGCAGCCAAACAATGAAGAGTGTGGCAACAAGTAGAACAAAGGCACACACGAATCACAATAAACACGATTACCAATTATTAAATAAGATAGAAGTATAAAGTTAGATGCCTCACCTGAATATGAGTCTTGATGATGGCCTTCCCAATCAAAGTTGCAAAAAAGAACTCCCAGAAAGGTACACCGAATTGGCCACACATAATACCAGCAAGGTCAAAGAGTGGGTTTGGAACCTAACAAGGGCCATCAAAATTAGGCAATTTGTTTTTAATTCAATGAAAATCCTCTTAAGAGGAAACTTATGGTAACTTCTGTACAGGAAATGTTCCATAAGCTTATCTCTTGGTGCCATTTTATCTAGACAGCTTTAAAATGTGGACCTAAAACCTTGCAAATGGTCCAAAGGTGATTTTGAAGGAACAGAGTCAAATGCTTAATAAAACAAATACGGTTGTAAGATATCAACAATGAAGAAATTGGTAACAAAGGATGGGCAGACAGGGGACTAACCGAAGCAAGTATCAAGATAGAGAAGAAGTTGAGATGTTGAGAGTGAGAAAGAAGCCAACGCTTGGTACGATTAAGACTGGATGCTACTGTCCCATCTTCTTTGGAAGTAGCGATATCAAGCTCCTTAACAGCTTTTGACTTGTTTCCTGATAAGCGAGCTGCATGACAAGATATCCATTTAGGATAGGTAGCTTAAACCAATCAAAGGAATAGAAACAAAAATGCCAGAACTATCTTTCCTACCCTTCCCAAGAACTCACATCACAGGCATAACACTTCTAGAAATGGTTTTTTCCTAAAATCCATCAAACAATTGAAGCTCCACAGCACCAAAATGTTACCTAAATACGTAAACAGCTAAAATGTCAAGAAAAATGGGCATTGCCCTGTTCCCAGTTTTAGGAATTTAAGAAAACAACAACAAAACAAAACAAAAACGCAATATAGCATGTACTATTAGGCGCCTCTAGAAGAACATGAAGTCAAAAGTTAAATGTATGGTGTAGATAGAACGCTGAACTGTATGGATGTCCTCTTCTGTGGCGTCTCATCTCCCCACAGCAGCCCACGGACACCCATCCTAGGCCCGGCCACCTCCGCCGCCGTGTCCTCTGCTAAACCGGCAACCCAACCCAACCCTCAAGCGT